GTTTGGCCAGGGCACGAAAGACATCGAGCTTTTCATTTCAATAGAAGGATTATGCAGTTGTACCACTGATTAAATAAACCAGTAAAGTTTCTACCAAGCACCATTTCAATCGAAAACACTTGCATTTCATTCTCGCTCGTGAAACGTAAACTAAGTCGAGCTATTTTCGTGAAACGATCTAAAGTCTAAGACGATAGTCCAAAGAGACTCTGCTTTGGAACCTATTTTGCTGTTTCACTTTGATTGACCATAATGTGGCTTCTGAAACAAATTCCAGGAGATTATTTAGAGAGAAAATACTTCATTCCTGATCGAAATCAGCTTGTTCTGCTTGACTGGAGAATAGAAGATATCGGAGATGGAATTTTCTTGAGAACTTTTGTGGACTTGGATTGATGCTTTCTTTGGGCAAGGAAATATGTTTGCCGGTTGTTTTATTCTTTGAATCTGATGACGCTTCGAGACGTCGGAAGCTGCTTTTCTTCAAATAACACTTTCATAATTGTTTCAGAAATAGAATTAGGTTTTTGAAGATTTTTAGTAATCGAAAAAGAATGTTTGGTTACTTACAAATCAAGTTAATTCCGGTTTGAAACACAAGTTTCAATAATATTTTACAACACTTTCTCGACTGATATTTTATTGCCGACGAATTTCACAATTATTTCAGAAACAAAATTTAATTTCTGAATATTTCAACAAGAAGAGTGTTTGATTATTTGAAAATCAAGTTAATCTTGGTTCGATTGGCTATTTGATAGATTAAAGTCCAAACACAAGATAATATTTTTTCGATTGATACTTTATTATCGACGAATGATTCGATATCCATTTAAAACTCCTCGTTTTTTGAGCTTATTTTGACCAAATTTTCGAGACTAAACTAAAATTTATAACTTCACGTAGTGTGAATTGATGACTCTTTAAGCCTGGTGTCAATCATGAAAGCATATGGCAAATATATTCATAAAAACAATTCTTTTTCAAGCGTAAATAGTGAAACTTCTATATATTCAAACACAGAATAATTCATTGCCATTTAGCATAAAGCTTGCACAATCTATCACAAGCCGCAAATTACAAATCATGGATCATCATCTATAAATTGTTCCTTGTTCAATCGACTCTCTTCGCACCCTGTACTCCCATTACAAACCGTACGTGTCCGTAGGTGCCCCGAACAACCTTTGACCCTTTTCTAATTTAACGTACGACCCGGACACGAATCGAAAATGGTAATCCATACCAGCGGTGCTTAACCTCGTTCCACTGTCATCTCGGTGCGATGCTTCAAAAAGTGAAAAGAGGGAGAAAAAGAATGCTCCGAAAATAGAAGAAAAGAGGGAGGAGAGGGGACGAAGTGAAAATAAAAAAAAAAAAAGGGGAGGGGGCGGGAAAGGAAGGGGAAAATAGAGACTCGCTTTGAGGGCGACCGGCTGGTTTTTCCGCTTACGTGGCCACACTTAATTTGCCCTTTTTACTATCCGACCGTCTTGTCCGCGGCAAAAGCCGCCACGGGAATCGGGAGTGAACTTTTCAATCTCGCGGCGGATTCTTGGCTTCCAATCTGCTCCCAATATCACCGGGTATTCGTCGAGCTTTTGAGTTCCGCCGAGTGAATTCCAAAGCCCCCTTCCCTCCCTGCCCTCTTGATTTCGATGCGTTCGTCGAGTTTATCGAGCGGATAGAGAATCTCGTTCATGCCACGTCCCATATGCGTCCCCCTCTCTCCCTCTCTCACTCGCTCTTTCTGTTTGTCCTCTTTCCTCATGCACGTACATCGAAGCACACATCGCGCGAAGTTTGCGAGTGCTGCGTGAATTAGACATTTGATTGACCCGTATTGACAATGCGCGAAAGTTATTGAGACGTGTGAATTAATATCTCGAACAGAGTCGTATAATCGTAACAATTGTAAAATAAATGAAATCGGAGAGTGCTGTGGAACTTATAATTATGATGAGTTATCGACACTTGGAAAGGCAACAGCGAGTTCTGGACACGATCGACGACCTTGAAACTTCAGGAGAGGAAATTTTATTAGAAGAAAGTCGATCGAAGTCCATCGCGAACGTGTTAAGTGGAATTATGAAATCAAATAAGCAGAGTCGTATACGATGATAAAATAAATATATATACAGCGGAAGAAAGTTTAGAAAGTAAACGGTAGGAGTAGTTTATAAATTTCGCTGTCGATTGTATATTATACGGGATATTATTCATTTAAAACTCGACAAATTGTGTATTAAACTCGCATAAAAAAACGTCCAAGTTTTAACAAATTTAAATACGTTGTCACGTAAATTTTATGGTACATTATTTCTGTCTCAGAACTAGGCAAATTTTAAAATATACTACATCAGAGCATCTAATTTTTGTAAAATATTATACTACATTTGCTTGTATCTTTCATCGACAATACTATTCAATTACAAGTCGTCCACAATGTTGAATATCGATAAAATTTATTTCATCTCAAATTCTAAAAAATTTAGAACTTTTAACTCTTCGTTATTATATGCTAACTTTCGAAAATAAGCTTTGTCAGGCTACAGTATACTATGATAACTTCGCCCCAATTTCCTGCTTTTTCTAATCACAATTTTAAAGATACATTATTAATATGCAATACGTAAAATTGTCCTCAACTATTCTTCCCATTTGTAATTTTAGAAGTATGTTAAACGTTCTGTCAAAAATCTGCAAACGCGTGATATATATTTCTGGACGATACAAAAACAAAAAATAAAAAAATACAACTCACGTTGAACACAGGTCTTATCGCGAGCCATCGACGAACGAAAATTTCACACGGTGAAACTTTGCTCGTCGAGCTTTCGATCGTACAGCGGTTGTAAATTCATTTATACACTCTGGCCGAGCAGTCGAGGAAGGATAACTTTCTGACAGTGTATTGTGATTGGCAAGCATGGCCCGTGGTATCGTGCTGCGGTGATTTTCTCGAATTTTTTTCAGAACGTTCGTTTCCAACGGATTTATAGTTATGACACGGAGCGATAGGGATACGCTATCTCCGTTTTCCCATCTTTCTTTTTTTTTTTTTTTCTTTTTCCCCAGTGGTTTCGATACTAGAAGGAAATATGCTTCGCAAAGAGAAATATGACGTAGGATTTTTCGCTATAGATTTCTCGTTGTCACGGCGAGCGTAAATGGCACTTCGTACGCTTTCGAAGAGAATTTTTGATACAACAGTTCGACCATCGTAGTAACATTGATCGTGATAATTTAGATTTCATCGCTCCGTGATGAAATACCTCGTTTCAGTGTGATTTTAATTCCCAAAGTATCGAATCTCACTCCACACGATGCAAATCGTTGATCGATCATTTCGTCCCGCGTAAACCCCGAGGTGGAATATAAATCGAAATTAAACGACCCAGTCTAAAATTATTGCGATCACTCGCGGATCCAATTTCTTTCCTGACGAGCGATACTCGACGATCGACATCCAAGAACGTAACAAATAACAAATGGGTAGCTTCGATTCGCGTCACGCGGTGAAACACGTAACGGACAACGTGGTAACGCGGACCATAACGAGTGACCGAACCGTATAGAATAATTCGTCGCTTTTTCTTTTCTTTTTTTACACGTCGGTATGACATCACTGGATAGAAATTATTAAGAAGTGACGAACTCATCGTCTGTTTTGCCCGGATTACGTTTAAACATACTTAGAACTGAGAATATGTTGCAATTTGAGACGTCATTCCAGCGCAATAGGTCAACATCCGCCTCGATCAATTTCCTCTCGTCTGGCAGAAAATACTTTCGCTGTGAATCATTTATAAGATGCCTGTATCTTCATTAAAAAAACATCAGTTACACACGAACACGATGAATAATTCACCGGGCGAGATAATTCCGAAACGTCTGCGCTATCAAATAAAAATTTAAATTAGAAAATTCCATTAGCACGGGCGGATAAACGGCGAGCGACGAGCCGATTCGAACGGAGGTGAGATCGTCCGAGGAACGAGGGAGAGATTGGAGACTCCGACTGATTAACGAGATTAAGAATTGAATTCGACGATCCCCGACCTAATTTTTGGTAACGACTCGGCCGCAGGATAGGGAAGAGCTTACGTGCAAGAAGAGGAACGTTGTAACTCTTGTTGGCGGGGAGACACACGTGGTTCTAATTGACTTGGTACCGTCTCCAGAGATTTAATCCCGCGGAGGATCGTTTCACCGAACGAGTGGTAGAAAACGTCGAGACTCTGCATCTTTCGCGATCGTCGTCGAGCAAAATTGAAGCTGCTCGAAATAAATCAGCCAGTTCCCTTTCCTCTGTCACACGTGTATTGACGTTAAAATACTATAGAGTGAAAGGTATTGGAGTTTAGTTTCAGATATTGTTACGTGCGGATAACATTTTTTTTTTTTTTTTGTAATTCTTTGGTTACAAAATTGATTTAAAAATTTATTAAAACACTGGATTACTAGAAGCTGGTGTAAATATTTCAATACATTCACTGGTCATTAAATTTCAATTCCAATTTAATCCAATTAAGTCAGAATAATACAAGTTACTCGTATTCACAAAAATAATACGACGTCATCCGATTTTCCATCGCATTTAAAATTTGAACGATTACGATCCCACAACAGATCGATGAATAATTTTCGATATGAATTAATTTTCACAAAAAACATGAACTTCTTCCGTTTCGAATAAATTCGAAAGCTTGCTCGTTTACACTATGACAATTTAAATATACGTACGTTTACTTTATTCTAAAAGCTTGCCGAAAAAAATTTACGTAAAAAAACAGCGAACACGTTAAGCCTCTCGATATCATAAATATCTCGCTCGTGAATTATTCATGTCTCTCCTGTCGTCGAATCAACTTGAATTTCTAATTTTTCATAGCTTTCGTCACTTTTTCGCTCTGGCAGCTCTTTGAGGGGACAATTTCGAAATGCAAATGTGGGTGGCGTTAATTAAATGAAATAATAAGAGAGATGGTATCACTCACTGATGTTCTTTTCTCTGTACTGTTGCAACGCGTCGCTGGTGAGGCAGGCGAGGACCAACCACACAACGAAGCCGCACCTTCTCATTTCGACCTGCAAGGAAAACGCGTGAATTAATTATAACCAGTTTGAGAACATGCAGAAACCGCAACGATCCGCCAATCCGTGCAATTGTCTCGTGTGATGAAATACACGTACGCTCATCGAATTTTCTTAATAACACATGTATGTATTATAATAAATTCATTATACTGAATTATTATATTTATTACATTATACTATTTATTACATTAAAGTGATTTGAAACTGTTTGTTGAGAATGTGGTACAGAATTAATAAATAATTGAAATCGATTGCGAGCAAAGTTGGAAACTGTTTATAAAATTACAAGTACGAATCGTTCTATGTTGTCAAATGAATGACAATAATTAATAAACGTAATTAAAGTACACAGATTTTATCAAGATTCATCCAGCGATTCGTATTTCTAGAAAAAATTTCTGTAATCGCTGAAGCTGGAAAAAATTATGAAAACAAATTAATATTATTTAATTCTTGCTGATCTAATTATTCTCGACAGAACGAGCAGCGAATAAAAAAAAAAAGTCGCAAAATTTCAGAAAACATTTCCAACCTCAAATAAACAGCTAACCCCCATCGTACCTGAATAAAAAGATTATCGTATCCAGAGAACAATCGAGCCGAGCAATAGACTGACTCGTCTTCGCCGATTGAACCAACTGAAATTAAAAGAAACGCGACGTACAGCAAACTGAGTAAAAGATACGCGCAACCGTGCAGATTTGCCACGGCAAGTCGCTCGCAATCTACAAGTCAATTTCGCCATAACGCCGAAATCGTGAATCTCTTTCGACAATGGAACAATAGTGAAACACGTTCACGCGTCTATCTACATCTCGACATTGTCGCGGAAACCGGCGACTCGCCACTGCGAGTCCAACGAAACGGCCCCCAACGTCCAACAATTTGACTTTGAACGATCAGATGACCGCGAACAGATGTTAGTATTAACAGGCAGCGTACGAAATGGAACGAGGGGAAAGGGACGATCATCGACGCCGCTGCCGTACAGTAATCAATCGCCATAATGCTTTCATGTCATTGACAACTGTCGAGCTGTTGGAAGCGGTCCCTGCGGCACTCTGGCCTGTCACGAGTCCGAAGCGAGTCGGTTCCGACGAGATTCTGTCTGCCAATTGCTAGGCATCGATTGCCCCCTCATTAACGCATAGCCCGAGTTCCATCGTGGCTGCTAGTCAACGTCTCGTTAACAGCCGAACGTTTGACGCAGTGTCGAACAGCAAAATGTCGAAATGGTAACTCGGATTGGTCACTAAATTTGGTCGTTTTTTTTCTTAATTTCGATTAAATTCTCTTTCTTTCGTTGATTATTATTACTTGTCACTTTGTGTCATTTCTGCGACACTTTTAACACTGGAACTAGCAAAATGGTCAAAATGGTAAAAGTCAGAAATTTCGTCAGACACGAAAGAAAGTATGTTTTTAGAGATTCAGACGATATGCAAGTAAGAGTTTCTGTAATTTATTGCGTTACAAAGGTTTTCCATTTTCCTTTATTACAATATGTTTGATGGAAATTTTGTGGTTTAGTAGGTTGTAGTGTGTTGTAGGTAGTTGGTTGATAGTTCCAATATTGGGTAACGAATCGAGACTAAACTGCTGTATGACGAATTTGCTACAACTTTCTATGAGAAAACGATGAAACAGAACTAAGATACAGAGAATATAAACAGTATAAATATACATGTCTCAATATTGGTAACAAGATGCAAAATATCTCGTCAAAAATGTCAAATGATTTGAAAATTGCAAAATTTCTCATCCAGGGTTATAATGTCTGGTTATAACTTTCATCAGTGTCCGAATTTTTTTTTCAGCATTTACAACTGCTGAAAACTATACCGACATGATGTTACAATCACGTCACTGATTGTTAATCACTAAATATAACGTCATACACGCGTCATCGATCACTAAGCGTTGAAAATTTCACCATAGTAACATGATCGATCACTAGCTATTGAAAATTACACAACGTCAAAATACTGTCATCACTTATATATGATTACATTGTTTCGTATGACTATATCATGTAAACCAAGATTTAGAATTTAGATTTGTCTGTATGAATTACACGTGCTCGATTTGATCATTTCGAAGATTTCTAGGAATGTTATATATTTTTAACAAGTATTTTAAGAGCAAAATTAAACTGCAATAGCTGTGTATATTTATCAACGATTAAATTATAATATACATATGAAACACATCTATAATATGCATAGATAGAGGAATATAGCCTGTTAATTTCATTACTGTTGCATTCTAGTCTTCCTATTATCCGTGCACATTATAAATACATAGTCCATTAACGATAATTTTGAACGCTCGTTAAAATTACCAAAGGTCTGAAAATCTAACACCGAAAAAAAATTCATTCATCTCTAAATATATAACACTTTTGATATATTTATTCGACGTATTGAAATCCTCCAACGAGACAATTATTTTAAAAATAATACTTATATGATGTTCGAAGGATTAATTATGTTAAATAACATCGTCCGAAACAAAGGAACAATAATTCGTATCGTTCGCTATTTTGAGAAATCAACAAAAACCAACGAGAAAGTGTGATTTGACACTTGAAGACCAAAGTCAATCGCATACTGCCCCCAAAAAAACGTGAGATAATGTAGGAACACGTAATTCAATCAATTAAGCTAACACTATTTAGTTCAGACTCGGCTGACTGGCGGTCCATGAGCCCTTCGCCCCTACTTTCCTGATCGCTAACACTCTTCCCTCCGCCGCATCGATCACGCCACTTGCTTGGGGAAATTAACAAAAACTGAGAGAGTGGGGAGGCTCACGGACGTGGCGAGAAGATTTCTATGTAGTGAAGAGATGGATGCAGTGGAGGGGGAAGTGCTAGCGACTAGGAAAGTGGTGGCAAGGACCGCCAGTTAACCACCTCTTTAATTGGTCATTCGTCGTCCGCGAAATTTCCGTGCTTAGAGCCAAGAGCCGAGATGCAACATTTCGCGAAATCAACGCCATCCATCCGTTAATTTCGCGAATAAAGAGCCCACCATCGTGGGATCGAAACTTCCTGCTGGATCGCATTTGCGCAAAGCTGACGCAAAGACCTTGAACGTTGTACACGCGGCGTTCGTGGCGCTTGGCACCGAACGAAACGCTTTTCCACCGTTCCGGTCGTGCTTCGAAATCCTCAAAGAAATATTTTATAATATCCCCGCGCGAGCGTTCCATCCATACAGTCTACGACTGCAACCATAGTACCGGGGCTGTTGCCTCGTCGAATCATCCAGCTGCTGAATTCTTCTCGTTCGTGATTATCCGCGGCGTATGCGTGCGCGATTCCTTTGAGAGTAGAAAGTTTCTTATCCATCTGACGGCTACTTATATATGTAGCGGTGGACAGAAGAAAGTTTAACGCTGGAACTCTCAAAGTGCTCGAAACAATCAATTTAATAATTTTGCGGACTTACTTGATATTGCGTTTTTTTTTTTTTTTCTTCAGAAAACTCGAGTGATTTGTGTAAAATATGCGAATAAAAGTTCGCGTTCACTATCGTGTCATAAACTAGTCCTTGTATTCTAATTCCTTTGACTCAATTTTTATAATACTTTTCTCGGTAGTTCTAGCGTAAGAAAAACTGGTGCCAGAATTATATTCGCGACAAGAGTGGTAGGTTCCTTTCGTTTTCTTTTCTTTTCTATTTAATTTTTCCTAGAGAAATGTAAGTAATTAGGGTAACGTGATGTACAATGGCATGGAAGTGTAATTTGTTGTCATATAATGTTGATTTGAGCGGACGAACGTTCTATTTTAACTAAATCTACTATGCACTTTTTCCTCGAGAGGGCAAAAGTCGTTTCAATCTACGAATGTGATCTGTTTCGTCCAGTTTCATAGTTAAGTGACCAAAGAATTCAGACGATTGCTATTGTATCTGTAACATTTATACTCTAGCTTTATTCTGAGAATCTTGAGGTCGCGGTGGATTATGTCGTTGGTTACATACACAAATGCACTAGCAATGGCTCTTATGGTTTCGCTTTGAGGATATATCGTTGGTGAATTATTTGGTGGCAGTTGGATCCAACATAGGACCATATGGATTTCAGAATAACTTTAGTTTCAAGCGATAAACAAACGTAAAATATACTTCAGAACGAATGATTGTCGCGAATATGGCAAAGAAGATGCGATATATAGCTCAAAGTATCCTTACTGTAAACTTTCTTTCGTCCATCATTGCAAATATTTGCGGTCACTCGATATCGGTAATTATTTGCCAATATGTAAAACGAAGGTACAGAATATTCTTCGTTCTCTCTGTTTGTACAGCGGTGTTTCGTACGACACACGTTTAGCAATGGAGATTTGTTCGGATTTGGCAGGAATTGCGGTTTGAATGGCGCGCGGTGTGTAGGATTCGGTCGAAATGGACGTTTATACGACTTCTTGGCATAATTTTCTCGGGTACATTACGTGCGAGGAATTCCACACTTTTTCGAAAATTTGTGTCCTTATTATTTGGGAAGATAGATACCCGATGAACTCTAAATTTTGAAATACGCAGAATGCAGATCTTTATATTTTCAATAATAATACAATTATTATAATCACTAATACAATAGTAATAATGCAATAAAAATAAAAAAACACAATAAAATAAAATATAATAATAATACAATTTAACTACTGTATCATCGATTTAATTTAATTATGTCTTCGTGGTTTTGAAGAAGTAACCGAAACACATCGGAAGCGGAACGCTTGTGGTAAAATTTACAGAATTATAAAAGGCATACAGCAAAAAAAAATTGTTTCGCCCATTTCCTCTGTTTAATTACATTTACTTTATTTGGTACTTCGCGAATGGAACAACAGATTTACAATAGAAATAAAAACGAAATTCACACCAAAGGCCGGAGTTACTCCAAATCACTGAAAATCCCAGTGCAAAACCAACCTAAACGAAACAAATCAAGCGGTGTCTCGAGTATTCGGAAAATGAAA